TTTTTATTTATCTCTAGGTTTATCTCTAGGTTTATTTAACTCTAGGTGATCAATTTGATTGTAATAAGCGTTGTTTTTATTTATCTCTAGATTTATCTCTAGGTTTATTTATCTCTAGGTTATAACTTTAATTGTAATAAGAATTGTTTTTATTTGTCTCTAGATTTATCTCTAGATTTATTTATGTCTAGGTTATTACTTTGATTGTAATAAGAATTGTTTTTATTTATCTCTGGATTTATCTCTAGGTTTATTTAACTCTATGTTATCACATTAATTGCAATAAGAATTATTTTTATTTGTCTTTAGATTTATCTCTAGGTTTATTTATCTCTAGGTTATAACTTTAATTGTAATAAGAATTGTTTTCATTTAAATGTAGATTTATCTCCAGGTTATTACTTTAATTGTAATAAGAATTGTCTTTATTTATCAATAATTATTATTAATTGTTTTTATACTTACCAGAGACTTCGAAATAAATCGCATAAAATAACATTCTAGAGTCCTGAAAATTCTGCTGCTGCGAACGATATGAGCGAATGCTAATGCTTGATTCTAGAGATTAAGCTTAGTGAGGGATCACTCCCCGGAAGGTTCTGGCAATATTACGAAGTTTTATTGTCAAAGTTTAGCACTTGCTGATTTGAAATGAACTCGTAGGAATGGAGAAAGCATATCCGAAATGCGAAATCGATTCACTATAACGTTTGAAACAAAAATATTTTCGAAAATATGGCTCAAAAATCAAGTAAAATTAACGGTCATTGCGATGGGAGAGACTGCTCGACTACTTCTTCTTAGCTTGCTTAGGAATCCCAGTAACGCGGAGTTTCGTTGTTTATAATGCGTTGTTTATTTCAGATTAATTTTTGCTTTTTTAAATCGTGACCATGCTCACGCATTGCCAGCAAATATCCCCACAGGATGTATAATGAATGCACCTGAAAACGTCCTGCTTTTCACTTGTCAAATGTTCAGTTCGTTTAAAATGACGCCTTTTGCAGAAAGAACCTGCAGTTAAATTTTTAGCTGTGAGTCGAACAGGGTGATTGATATTTTGACCACAATTGATCTACGTTTTTTCAATAGCGTTGCAACCAGTCTGCCAAATCTAGCATATCTATGACTCGCGATGTTGGATAACAAAATTATTGTCTGACTAAAGGATTATGTGAAGTGCTATAGTGATTAGATTATGAAAAAGAAAAATTTTTAAATCAAATGCTTTCTAATTTTTTTCAAGCAAGGTTAAAAACCACGCCTACTATGTCAAGCGCAATATTGTTGAATTCATTATAATTTAAAAAAATTTTTTAAAACCACATTGCTTATATACAGGGTCTCCCAGAAAAATATTGTTACGTCGATGCAATCAATATTCGTTTCGATAGGAGAAATAACGAAAGACAAAAGTTGACCTTGTCGCTGACAATACGAATGTGCAATTATTTCGAGTAATTTTTCGTACTCTTTAAACAACTGCAACGCTTGTCCTTCGTTCGGTAAATTTCCGTTGAAAGGGATCCTCACGTACAGGAGCTGAGCAGCAGCCTCCAATTGAAAATAATTCATAACTTTTTAGACTAAAGTGCGTTCGGATATGGAACGACTTAGAACCTTGAATGGTGCTTGCATATTGCAAAATTTTCTGAGCGTAATTGTTGGAGTGAGTAAAGTTTTTTTTTGGGACACCCTTTATAAATATATATTTTGGTTAAGGTGATTTTTTTATTAACAGTATGTGGCTTAACAAGTTTGTTTTTTTTTTTTTTTTGTTATAAACTTATAATTCAGACAAAAAATTTGTTTAAATTTTGTACACAGCATAGTAAAGAGATCACAAGCTCATGCACATAAACACATACATCTAAGTGCCTTTTCATATACAATATGATTTCCCCTAAAACTGGAAAAAGTTTCGTTCATTATTACTTACTTATTATAGCTTTAAATGACCAACACTTTGATTATATGCTATAAATTCACACAACCGCACAAACATACGCTAAATATTGAGGTGATGATCATGAATTATAAATTATTATTTCCTGATTTTATCCCTTCTTCTTTCTGATAGATTTTTTTTTTTTTTTAATTTCGGTAATATTAATAATGCTGTGTACAACAATAACTCAAAAGTACGCAAATTTTTTTCTTTTTTTTTTTTTGTTTTCAAATGTTTTCTATATATTTTATTGTTGTACTTTTCTGTGTATGTATGTTTTTTCTTTCTTTTGTTACTTGTTCTAAATTGTTTAAATCTTATTTGGTTTTTAACTCTAAACGTGAACGGTTGTATGCGTCGTATACGAGAAATTGAATGTTGTGCGGTTCTTATATAAATATTGATCTCTAAAATGTGTGAATGAATAGAATGGAAAAGTTTTACTACAAATATTTACATAAAAATATATTTAAAATCTATTCTGAAATATCAATATAAAAAATAAAAGTCTGACGAAATGGATGAAAAAGATTTAATGTTGGCCCGCACTATGGTAGCAGAGTCCCAACAACAAGAGCAACCATCACCTGGTGCATCCCCGGTTCCTCTAAGACGCACTCGGGTGCAAGATTTAATAGAAAAAAGGAATCAATTTCGGTAAGCAAAAAAAAAAAAAAAAAAAACTACAAATTACTAAGTATAAGGTATATCAATACTTTTAAAAGAAAAGATAAAACTCTATAAGCAAGATGGTAATTGTTTGTCCGTTTATTCCTTGCATGTGACTTAACATTTTCATTTGTTTCACTCTTTACTTATATGATAATTTTATTGTTTTGTGGTTTTCTCTTTTTTATATATTCATATATTCCTTTGTATATATGTGCTAGTTTCATATATATACATATATATATATATATGTACGACTAGAATATTTTGCTTGCTCATGTAAATTTATTAGATATATAAACGGAAAAATAGAATTTGTTTAAAAAAAGACGAAAACCTATAAATCATTTCTCTTGCTGATGCTTTTAAGTTACCTATTAACCCATTATTTTCAAATATTAAATTTAACGTACTTAGTGGACTGGGCATCACTTAGCAATTATTAGAAAACAGAGATGTTTGTCTTATCGAAAAAAAAAACATTTCGCAAGATATTGTATAAAAACGAATCGCATGGAAAGCTTTTGAATTAATTATTTCTAGTGTCAACACCAATTTCATATCTTACATCAAAGCTAGTTTTGTTGTTGCCAAATACTGGATTATGTTCAATTATTTTGATGCTTGCACATGTTGCTTTTACTTTCTGTTTTCTATCTCTCTTTTTCTTGTTGCACCTTACATTTTAGTGTATAGTAACTTGTTTTACAATTATATAAATTTTAAATTGGCAACTCTTTAAAACAGCTGGCTTATGTCTACTTTTATGTTCCTTTCAAATGTAAAAAAAAAAAAAAAAAATCGTGTATAGAAACATTTTCCTGATTTGTTTATCACAAAAAAGCAGGAAAAATAGAGGATTTAAATAAATAAGCGAAAACCGGACGGTGCTATTACAACATTTATTAGTAAAATATTAATAGTCGCGGCAGCTAAAAGTAGACATTCTTTTTGTTTACTATATGACCTAGGCCAAACGAGCAGATCAGCCAAAAACACTAATATCAATCAGCAATTTAAAGTTTTTCACATGATATGAATTTTGGAGAGTGTGTTCGTAAGCAATTTGTAACTTGCCCAATCGGTTATTTTGTTAAGTGTGTGTACTTGTTTGTTTTGGTCATTTTTAATACATACACCTATTGACAATCATCTTAAATCGCTTTCGTACTTTATTCAGAAAGTTGTCTATTATTAATTAAATGAGAAATTTCCGAATAGTTTTCATTTTCAACTCTTCGAAGTTGAGTTATTTTATTAATTGCATTGTTTTTACGCAAATCGGAACTATTGCGATCGAAAAATAATGTCAAACTCCAATCACAAAAAAGGCTTGCACAATGAGAATACAAATGTGAATACGTCGTCGGCATTGAAATGCCCTATTAACATCGCTTCTGATTATTTAAATGTTAATCGTTTAAATGCTGGTGGAAGTGCCTCATCGGCTCCTGGATTGGGGGAGCCCGGCAGTTCGCCCAATATGGAAGCAATGAGGGAATGGTGGTAAGTGCGAGAATATTTACTTTTTTTTTTTTTACATTTTTATTTACAAATGTAAAGTGTTATCAGTTTTGTCGCATGCACACACGTGATCACACGTTTTGCTTGTAAAACCATTTTCTTATCAGCGAAATATCTATTGAAAATAAAATTCATTCACTGACGAATGAAACTAAGCAAATTTCAGTAATATTGAATCCAAGACCTTCACATTTTGTTGTTATGATCTCAAAGCGTGAGCCATTTGCAAATGTCAGCTAACTTTGAAATGATGATGAGAGAAAGATTGAAAAAGCGTAGAGCGTACAAAAGTTAAATGTTTACAATCTTAAGTAATTTTAGAATCGATCTTCTGCTTTCTCCTTACTTGCGGCTCTCTCAAGTAGTTAAAGATGCATTGACCCGTTTTATAATAAGCTCAAATGTTTTCGTTTGCATATTTATCCGCACACAGACACTGTAACACTGGGATGTAGTACAAACTATGAATGTGTGTATTATATATAAATAATTATGCGCCTGACTTCTACTGAAACATGAAACTTGAGTCATGTTGTCTATGGGGCCGTAGACCAAATGTGCATTTGACAAGCACAGGCATGAGATGAAACTTCACAAAATCTGAAGAGCTGTATACAGTGCAATATATTGATACGCGTTTATAAGTTTCGACCAAAACTATTCATTTTTCTTTTCTTTCTTTTTTTTGCACAATTATTTTGCATCTTCCACGCGTTTATGTTTGCACCTGTGTATTTTATTGCATCATTACACCCATTGTCGAACAATGAACATGTACTAACGTCGTCATTATCTTTGTAATCCCCGCATATAAAGTGTATATGCCTTTCAATCAACATGAGATAGTAAATCAATTTAAATTTACTCGCTTTGTCACCTTTTGTTTTGCTTGCCTTTGTGAAAACTCTTCCAAAGCAGAAAAGGTGTCATTAACCCCTGTTGGTCCAATTAAGAGGTAATTATACCCTAAAATGGTTAGCTAGTAAATGAAGGTTCAAACAGAAGGACGTGAAATTGTATATGGTTTCAATACTCATCGTCAGCCGTTGTATGAGAGTTATTTGCAAGGTAGAGTTAGCTTTCATTTGCTCGACGAATATCCTCTCCTAGCTACTCCATTGAAAACTCTATAAGGTAAAGAAAACCGTAGTGCAAATTCACTTTATTATTCTCTTCATCTTCATAATCTTATCAAGACACTATTATCATAACGACCAATCTACGTGAATATATAGAAAAACATAAATATGTATATGTATTAACTGATTAAGAGATTCAAATACATCCCGATCCTTTGGTTTTCGTATCTCAATATGGATAAAGTAGAGAAGTTAAGTTTCTTTAGTTTTTGTTGTTCGTTGGGCTGAATATTTGTCGAACCACTATACACTATATATATATCTATATTATATGATATCTTTTAAAGGAAAAAATATTGAAAGAATTCTTTTATTGCAAATGTATTCGATGTAATGGAATTGTAAATGAAATATCAATCAAATGATTACTACGACCCTGCATAGAAGTACTCGATTAGGCCAAGTTTTGTGCACTTTGACTAACAACTTCAAGGGACCCTTTGTAAAATAAATAGCGGAGAGGTGTTAAACCACTGCTCTGCCTGTGGGGATCATTGAAAATCGGAATTTTTTGAAAGCATTGCATAACTAAATCTACTATACAATAATTGGGTTATTTGCTGTGTTGTTTTGTGCGTTGTTTAACACTACTGAAACGAGAAGTTGTTCAAATGAACAAGCTCCAATAATAGCGCTCTTCAAAGAGAGGTTATCCAATGTAGTCTTCAAAGAAATAGAGACCGAAAAGCCACTTTCACGCGGCTCAAAGTTTCTTGTGAATAGTTTGTGAATTAGTGGCTTCCAATCGAATTCGATTTGTTGACTCGTTGATCCGAGAAAGTGATTTTCTTAAAAAAGTGCACAATGCAATTACAATATTACGACAATTATTTCGATAAAGAGTTGAAATAATTTACAAAAGGTTCTTGGAGTATACAACTTTTCATAATAATTGTATTACTGAACGCCTCTCGTGCAGTGCTAAGAAGAAGTCATATCATCTTTACTACAAAAAAGCCGTGTGCAAAACAATTCCGGTCTCCCGAAAGGCGAAGAGCAAGTTCAAAATTACTGAATCGAAATCGTCGCAAGTTTTAGATATTTGCTATAATTCCATTGTTTTGGCTCGATTTTGATGTAATTTCGTGAGAATTTATCCAATTCAAAAGAGGAAGGCATCCTTCCATAATTTCTATAATATCATAATAGTAAATGCCGAAAATTACTTACTTTCGAGCGAAGATGAGTTATCCCGACTTCAAGAGAGTAAAATTCCTATGGTGCAAAATTAGCCAGTTATGACCAGAAAGTGGGTGTTGCTTGCTCGGTTTTTAGTAAATTTTTGTATCCATCGCTGAAGTATAATTGTCAAAACTTTTGCAACGCCCACAAGGAAGCATCAGAGACCCCGCAAAGCGTATATATTCTTCTAAATCGTTTTAAGTCTGCCGGTCCATCTGTCCGTTTGTGTGTCTGTTTGTCCTTATAATGTCTGTTGTAAACATTCTCCTGGCTGTGAAATGGAGCTATCGACTTCAAATTTGGCAGCAACATTAAAAGTTCTTGCACGTAAGTTGGTATCGAAAATAGGCCGAATCGATCGAAGGACAACCTCATAGCGCTACGTCAATTGAGAACTTGTCCGTTTTTCAAACGGAATGAAAAATGAGTCTGGAAAAAATAGATCACGCCTACTCAATATTATAGTGGATTAAAATTTGATCGCTTTTTCAATACCTTTATAATGCACGGAAATAAGCTTCAGAAACCCCATAAAGTATACAAATTCTTGGCCAGTTTCAAATTCGGACTGTAGCTAAGCATATCTATGCTCGCCTGTCCATTTGTCTGTCTGCGAAACTGCGTAGTATTTGTGGTTTGGGAACGTTTTCCCATTAGCCAAAATAAATATATCGCCAACAAACTTGCAAAGGAATTTGGGAGGGACCTAAACTTTTCGTAGAACACGCTCACAACATCCCCTCGCCTATTTTAAAAATAGAAGAATTATCTGCGCCCACTCTATATTATCGAGCATGAAAATGTAGTTCTTTTCCTCTTTTTGTCTTTTTTCGGATAACAGTGATGGGTATAAAAGTTTCTGTCACGACCGACTATAATTTTTTTATTTGTTATTCGTTTTTAACAAACAAAATTCATTTCATTGATCAAAAATATACCAAACAAAGATAAACTTATTGTAAAATATAAATTACAAAACTAAAAATTTTTGGCAAATAAAACAGATTTCGATACACTATTAATATTGGGTGCGCGTAGCCAATTAATTTCTTTCATTATGGTATTATAGGGTCACCTATAAAATATACTTTAAATTTTCGTTGCCTTATCTGTCATTGTTTTTAAGTAACAAGTCAAGAAAGTTGTTTCCCAGGTGGATGTTTCGATTTGTTTACCTTCTTCAAGGAAAAAAAAATGCGGTTGGTTTGTGAATTTGTAACAGGGGTACAGCGATTTTTATACCCTACACCACTTTAGGTACAGGGTAAATTAAGTTAGCGCAGTTGTATGTAATATGCAGAAGGGCTTAAGGTGGATCCACCTTCTATTATACCGATCAATTTAGAATCATAATCTGATTTGATCTAAGCTTGTCTGCCAGTCTGAGATCTGCCCATGTAAATTTTGTGTTCAAGCTACAGGTCGCAATTTTTGAGACATTTTGATGAAATTGAATCCAGTATTGTGTTTTGACCCAAGGACGAACGCCATTGAAAATGGTTCGGATCGGTTCGCTTTTTCGACCACTTCACATATAACGCACTATTCTGAAAAGTCATTGTATGGAAAAAATTTTCATCTCGTTGACTTGGAATGAAGATCAGCAAGCTACGATACAGAAATTGATTTGCGAGATTTTGGGCAAAAAATTGTAGTGGCAAAAACGATAAAAGTTTGCGTCCTTGCGTCTCCCGCAAAGACATTCGAAGAAGTAATTTTCACCGTAGGCTGGGATGTTTTCAGACCTAGACAGTCCCGATAACTTATTCAGATGGATGCAGTCATATTTAGCAGGTTAGCGGCTCACAGAAACTGAAGACGTGTGAACATGGGTCGATGGTTATTTCGCCTTTAAACCGGAAAGTTTTTACCGTGATATTCGATAAATGACAAAAGACTATAGATGGCGTTGATGTGTATTTTGATTATTAGGCTTCATAAAAATTTTCTTTTAAAAAAATTCCATTTTATCAAAAGGCACAAGTACTTTATTTTTAGAGATACTATGTTGATGCTTGGATCTTATAACGAAAATAATGAAATTCGGTCTCTGATGAAACTATGCTTCTCCTTTACTAATTCGTTTGCGGTGTCGTCCATACTCACTGGTGTTCTCACTTTTCGCTAACATACCAAATTTTAAAAGACCGCTAAAAATAGTTCCCGAGAGAAAAGTACGAATTTTTGTTGCTTATTCCGCGGGTACTTTTATATAGATTCACATGATATAGATGACATTTTCTAGTTTGGCCGCACCAGAGTCTACATTCGGGTGTACTCGAAACAATTTTAGACAGGATAGAAATCAGAGGGACAAACGAACAGATAGGCTCAGATCAATTCAGGTTATGATTCCGACTCGATCGGTATAATAAAAGATGCGTTTATCATAAGCCATGCGTGTTATATACGTCCGCACTAACTTAATATACCCTGTGCCACAAGTGGAGTAGAATGTGTTGAAGAACAATTGATTTTAAAGTTTAAATCCTATAGGATTCCCGTCATTTTGCATCACTATGAAAACAACTGCAATCGCATTCTCGTCAGCGGAATACAAATTCCAGATGATTGTATACCAATCTTACATATTGAGCTACCTAGATGACGGAGATAGAATGAAAAATTTCTTATGCTTCGATTAACACTTTTCTTGTGATA